ATTATTATTATTATTATTATTATTATTATTATTATTATTATTATTATTATTATTATCTGATGCTAAGGAATTCTACTCCCCCTCCCCACCTGAAAAGAAATCTGTTCCAAATGCAAAACACAAGCAGAGGAGTTTCAGTTTCAGAGCACCAAGCAGTTTTAGTACAGAACAGTTGAGCTAAGCCATGCCCAGGCTCCTTGCTGTCTCCTTGCTCACACAGCAAATACTGTTTCCATGTTTCAGTTTCCAAGCAGCCCTCAACTCTCTCACACACTGACAGGACACTAGCCAGGACACTACCGATGGATGCTGGTAGGCAGAGGCCGAATTTCCCCCCTCCCCGCCCTTATTTTCCTCCCCAAAATCTAAGCCAAACCACAGAGTTTCGTAGTGGAGCACGGGTATTGAGCCAGTATCCTAAAGTTTGCATGAATTCATAGAATATCAGAAACTGGGTGTAGGAGTTGCTTCTGAATGCCCGAGAGGAAGGGAGGGAGAAGATGCTGTTGCGGAGAAGTTAAGGAAAGGAGATTCGAGCCAGTGCATCACCTGTGTGTCTCAAGAAGCAGGACGAGACCCGCTGTGGAAATCTCAACCTTTTTGCCTTGCAGTGCTTCAGTTCTTCCGAACTCTTCGCCACCCACAATCTGAGTGAATCGTCCCATCTTGGGCGGAGGGAGTTCAAAGAATTCTGCCCGACTATCTTGCAGCAGCTGGAATCGAGGGCATGCCTGCCAGAGAACCTGGAGAAGGAGGAAGAGGAAGGGGCGAAGGAAGGGAAACCAAGCTCCACAGAAGGTGCGTGCATTCAAACCCGTTTTATCTTGCGCCTTCGTGGCATTGAAGTTTTAACGTTCCTCATGACCTTCTCAAGATGCTGAGGGAAGAACAGGGGTCCTAATCTGTTTTCCCTTTCCAGTTGCCACTGTACTATAAGACTTAGTCTTGTAATACAGAAGCTTCAAAGAAACAGAGGATTAAAAGTGGACGTACAAAGCTTTATTTTCTTTTCATTAAAAAAAAAAAAGTGTATGTTGCTTTTTCCAAAACTGGCTTCCAGGAAGCTTCTGAACCCGCTGCAAAGATGGCTTTACAACCACTTAATTTCAAGCAAGTATCTACTTCGGAGAGGCAGGGGTTGTTGAGTTCTAGTCCCACCTTAGGCGTGAAAACTGGCTGGGTAACTTTGGGCCAATCACAAGGAGATGGTGAGTTCTAGTTCCTCCTTAGGCAGAAAAGCTAGCTGGGTGACTTTGGGCCATCACAAGGAGATGGTGAGTTCTAGTTCCACTTTAGGCGTGAAAACTGGCTGGGTAACTTTGGGCCAGTCATCAGCAGATGGTGAGTTCATGCAAAATCCAGGTGCCTCTTTTGGTCCCTTAAATTCCAATTTTTCTAATGGAAATTTAGGGGTTTTAATGGGTGTTGTAGGTTTCTTATCCTCTTTGCAGGCTTAAACTACATTTTAATCCCTTCAATCTGCCCCACCAAAAACAGCAACAAAGGGACGTACAAAAATGTTGATCCCATCCTTTTGGTGGATTTGGGGAATGGGGGAATCTCTAAATAGGATGCTGAAGACGTTATGTACAAGATCTGAAATGATCTGAGCACGATTCCTCTCCTTTAGAGATGCCTGCAAGCAGGACAATTAGGCCCATAGTTAACAAACGCAGTTTTGACATATTTTATCCAAGTTCCTCTTTAAAAAAATAATTAACCCATATTGCTTTTTTTGGCGGTCACAGTGCCACGGCGGGTTTGTTTTGGCTATAAGCTAAGCAATCCACGCCAAACTTTTACTGATTGGCTTAACTTGGATGACATTGTGGTGAGGGCTTTTTCTCTTTCAAAACAGACGTCCAAATTTTCCATGAGAACTTTGTTTTTCAACATCAAGCTTTAGCCTCGTCATGTTACATGTCAACTCCCCTGCCTGGGTCTGATCTGTTGACACTGTTCATGGATTAAGTTTGAGTATAAAACGGAACAGCTCCCTCCACCCCCTGGAGGAAAAAAAATGCGGGGAATTAGCCAGCTGGTTGGAAGAGTTGCTCCTCAAAAACTTCCAAGTCAAAACTTGCAAAAGAACTTTTGAGGGATTAGGTTAGAGCAGGGGTCTGCAACCTTAAACACTCATTTGGACCCATTTCCCACAGAAAAAAAAACACCGGGAACCTCCAAACCTGGGTCGGCATGGCCAATTCAACATCACTCCCACCCAGTCACATGACCACGCCTACCCAGGTTTTGTGGCTCCCGGTGTTTTCCGTGGGAAATGGGTCTCTCTCCTTCCCTCTCATTTCTGTTTTTTTGTGTTTTACCTCCTCAGGTAAAACTTGAGGAGTGACTGGGAGGGAAGGGCGAGGGGCAGAGCCAGCCAGTGGTGGGATCACCCAACAGGGAGCCACAGCAGAGGGCCCAAAGAGCTGCATGCAGCTCCAGAGCCGCGGGTTGCCGATAGCCGGGTTAGAGCCTTAGACCTTTCCAACATCCCTTGTGTTTAAAGGCCCATTCCCAGTTTTCAAAATTATTTGGGTAAACGTGCCCTTCTTTCTTCTTGTTTACAGTGTGGGGTTTTGGTTTCCTCAGTGTGACACTGATTAACCTTGCCTCCCTCCTTGGAGTCTTCATCGTGCCCTGTACTGAGAAGGTCTTTTTCACACGAATCCTAACTTATTTCATCGCACTCTCCATCGGGACCCTGTTCTCTAACGCCCTGTTCCAGCTGATCCCAGAGGTGCAGTAAGAACAAACCCCCCCACCTGCTCACAGGATGCCAACCCCATCACACCCACCAGTTTATCTTCTGGTACCCGATCGGCTGCTGAATTCTCAGTGGCTTTTGAAATTGGATTTTTCACCTCTTGGGCCCAGGGAGGTTCCCTAAAAATAAAGGGAGGAATAAAAGCTCTGCTTCATGTGGTATGTCCAGGCGTGTGCATGATTTCTATGCCTGCACAGGGGACATGTTGGCCGCTTCATATGACAAAAATCTAAAAGGCAATGTTCAAGTCCCCTCTGGTTAGATAGCAATAGCACTTAGATTATGTACCACTTCACAGTGCTTTGCAGCCCTCTCTAAGCGGTTTATGGAGTCAGCCTCTTGCCCCCAACAATCTGCGTCCTCATTTTACTCACCTTGAAAAGGACGGAAGGATGAGTCAACCTTGAGCCGGTCAGGATTGAACTGCTGGCAGAGGAAGGAAGGAAGGAAGGAAGGAAGGGAGGGAGGGAGGGAGGAAGGAAGGAAAGAAGGAAGGAAGGAAGGAAGGAAGGAAGGAAGGAAGGAAGGAAGGAA